CATGGCTCTCTGCTTTTTGAGGATGAGGATTGGGGTTTAGTGCTGTGATGTCTTTCACTACCACACTCTGGAAAGCAGATCTAGCTCTTCTTGTGACGTTACATCCAGTCTCTTGTTCTTAAATGATTGTGAAGCACTTTGGTTAACTCTGTTGTTTTTAAATGTGCTATACAAATACATTTTGAATTGAATTGAATGACTACCACTTACAGGTGTGTGTAAGTGGTAGATACCTTGGACTGAGAATGGTGAAACTGATCATTATTTGCTGTCCTCCGTAACTCCAGTTGCAAGACTCTTTCTTTGGGCTCAAAGCACAGAAGACTGGCAAAGGTGTGGCAGGGCTGTTGGATGCTCAGCGCAGACGCTTCCCAAGCTTGAGCCTCACCTAATGCTGCTGCAGCATTAGGTGAGGCTGTGTGTTTGCTCATGCTCTGTCGACAGCAGTAGATGATGATGTAAGCTGGATGGAGCATAAAGAACTGGACATTTCTTTTCTTTTACAGAACTCACCAAGATTCATGAGAATGAAGCGTTTTACTACTCTGCCCTTCCTGTACGTCCATGCCCAGTTTGACAGATAGATAAAGAGTTCTTCAAAAGGAGAGGCAAAAGTTTCCAGTTGTCATTGCAGGGTTTATTTGTCTCCCTAATGAAGGCGCTGTAAGACTACAAACATAACAAAAAAGTATATTGCAACATATATTTGGAACATAGTATATTTCTCATCTTACACAATATAGACTGACGCTAGTAACTGAAATTACATCTGGTATAACCAAGAGAAATAAGTGAAAAAATATTTAGCGTTCATCCCGCTAGCATAATGCTAACATATAATGGAATTTCCCTTTGACCTGCTAACATAATTAGCATTGACAGAGCAACTACATGCTAGTTTCAAATATGAGCGTCTACAGAAGCGTTTGGTATCACTTTTTTGACATAAACTCAGAATCTACTCATACTTAGAGGCATATATATCTCATGCTCCAGTATAACCAACTTTGGGACTACAATGTGTGCGCTGATAGATGCTCCAAGTGGTTTAGATAAGTTGGGTTCAAACTTGCTGCATCATTTTGGATCAACTGAAGGCCTTTCAATGCGTTTTTAAGGCAGGTCAATAAAAAAGAATTACAGTAGATCAGCCTAGAAGTAATAAATGCATGAACTAGTTTTCCAGCTTCACTCTGAGACAGGATGACAGGACACAGAATTGGCCTTAGTGTGGAACATTGGGTAACTCCATGATTGACCTTAGCTTCAATTTTCTGCTTGGAAGTTTTAAGTTAATTTCACCTGTCAGTAAACATAACCTGGGTGTGGTAAAGTGTGGTTTCAAATGTACTGACCCCACTAAACAGTGATGCCACATTGTACTGACTGCAACAGGGTAAGAAAGAAAAACTACTGTAGGAAATCTGATTTACGTAACGTTGCTTCTTGGTATCACAAACTGAATTATGGTTTAATTATAGGTCAAACTTGGGAAGTTGCTTCATGTTTTATCCATGCTTACCTGAGTGTTTTGTGTATTTGTCCGATTATTTGACACACAGATTTTAGATTTTAGGAAAATGAAAAAGAAGCACCCATAGAAAAAAGTAACTGTCTTAATTTGTTCAGATAAGGAGCTTTTTTTTCTCTTGCTCAGGTGGATTTCTTTGCTGTGGAGCTGTTGGACGGCAGCCTGTACCTGCTGCTGGATATGGGCTCTGGGACTATCAAGGTTAAGGCCACCCAGACAAAGGTGAATGATGGGGTCTGGTATCATGTCGACATCCAGAGGGATGGACGCTCAGGTCAGTGAGGCTAGATGTATGGGATATACAGATCTACTGGAATACAAATAAGTAATGTAAAATTCAAATATCAGAATCAGAAAGAATTTGTTACTCCAGTAGTATGTCAGTGAGGGAACCTTTATAATGAAAGGCCAAATCAATAAAAATTGGTGGCACATCTCATAAGATCAAAGAGTAGGAGCACTATGATGAAATTTGCAAATTTCTCTTCAGGCACCATCTCTGTAAACAGCAGAAGGACTCCGTTCACAGCCAGTGGTGAGAGTGAGATTCTGGACCTGGAGGGTGACATGTATTTGGGGGGGCTTCCAACTGACCGCACCAACCTCATCCTGCCCACGGAGCTCTGGACAGCAATGCTCAACTATGGCTATGTGGGCTGTATTCGTGACCTTTTCATTGATGGTCGAAGCAAGGACATCCGTCAGATTGCTGAGGCACAAAATGGGGCCGGCATTAAACCATCATGCAATAAACAACCTGGCAAGCAGTGTGAGAGCTACCCATGCAAGAACCGAGGAGTCTGCAAAGAAGGCTGGAATCGATTCATCTGTGACTGCACTGGTACTGGCTACTGGTCACGCACCTGTGAGAGAGGTAAGTGTGGATGTTTAGATGTGCACACGTTCGGTCCTCTTCCAAAAACCTTACATACTCATACTATCTGTAATACTGCGATCTGAACAGATGGAGCTAGCTGGAGCAGGACAATCGTTGTGACAGCTATAAAGGAAGTTCTGATTGCAAGATTTGCAAGCTGGTAGATTGATAGATTCACACTATCCCATTTGATAAATCAATGACGTTAATAGATGTCTTACTAGGCTGGACCTGAACCAAGGCATAGCTTCATTTTCAACAACATAAGCAGGACTGAGTCCAGCTGAGTTTGACTTGAGTATTTCCATCTTTGTCTCATCTGTACTGTATGACACATTTTTTAGTATCTTATATTAAATAGATGAGAAAATAAACTGACATTCAATGTAGAGTAGATCACATAAAACCAGAAAGAGCAAACAAGAGAGATTTATTTTAATAGCCTTATTGATATACCATCAACAAAAATGTTGTTGATTTTACCAGTAAAGAGGACAACAGTCAGATGAACTTTGTTACATCTAAACTGAATATAGATATTTGCAGCATGAGCAGGATTCCTGCATTCAGTAGCTTTGAGCCTAGCATAAAAGAACGACATGCTCACTGAATTCCAAGAGGAACCTTTAATATCCATAATTACTGTATGTTTAATTATTTAAACCGAATTAGTTACCATTTGATGCAGGGTGTTGGACTAACTTGGGGCTTTCCCCTTCTCCTTATCTCCTGTCTTGCTTCTTTTTGTGTGTGACAGGCTGTCAAAATTCTTGTGACAGAAAAAGCAATTAACAATATTCAACTTTTATTCAGACAATATTAAAACTATTGCCCTTCTGACCAGTTTCCATCATGGTGTTCAGACAGTTTAATAAAGACTAATTGGAGATGGAAACTAATTTCCACATCCCTAGCCAAACTGCTAGCTTGAACTGATCTTTAGCATATCAATGAACAGTGTTCTGATTATATCTTTAGTTATAGAAGTGCTTGCAGGACATCAGTGTGGAGTGTATATGCACCGAGTTATGATTCAAATGATGATTGCTTCATATATTAAATACTTTTCTAGATATTTTCAAGGGCCACTCAAATATAACACAAAGTTTTTCAGCTCTTCAGCTCGTTTTATTTATATAGCACCAAATCAAAAGATCATTTTATATGCTTCATCAAAAACGGAAGTGTTAAGCCTAATGTTGAAAGTAAAGAGGGTGTCTCACAAATACAAACTATAAGCTGTTCTATAGAAGAGAGGCCTCAAAGCTTAAAGCTCTGCATCCCATTTTACTTTGAAATATCACAGGAACCACCAGTTAGCCAGAAGTCTGAGAGCAAGCTACTCTATTGGGGTGATATGGTACTGTGACACCTTTAACATAAGTCGGGCATGGATGATTAAAGACATTTTATGTGAGTAAAAGCTTGCCACCTTTGCCACAAAACTCAAAGTTGAACTCAGGTTCATCCTGATCACTGATCATCTGTCACATGTTTTTAAAACTCGATTGGAGTCCATCGATTGGATTATGAAAATTTCACCCCTGCAACTATGCAGGTCCCATAGCTGCATAGTTGCAACAAACCAAGCCATGAAGCCGAAGGAATTGTGTGTAAACATCTGAGAAGGGCAGAGATCTTGGAAAGTGTACAGAAACATTTCTGCAGCATTGAAGTCTCAGTGAGTCCCCATCATCTGTACATAAAAGACATTTAAAACCATTAGTGGTATTCCTAGTGTCATTGGGGTGCTGTGTGGCAGACAAACAAACACAGGAGTCCAAACACAACAGGATAAACTCAAAGAGGCAGCTTTATTGCTGTGAAACATACAACGGAAACAAAAGCCTAAAAACAGGAAACATGAGACACACACTAAGACACGACTGGGAGACAGAACTTAACATACATGATAGAAATGTCGGACTAACAGGGACCCACAAAAGGAAACAAACCAAAACGAACAAGAACCTAAGAACTAGAAAGTAAAATGAAACTAAGGAGAAGGCCTACAGCAGCGAGCAGCGAGGACTGGGCCCTGAACAGGCAGGCC